CGTCCAGGTTTGCCTGCTGGTGCCTGGCCATGTCTGTCCTGTGCTGTCACCTCTCTGTCATTCCTGGGGTGTCTGTCGTTCCTGGGAGCTCCTGAGTTTTGTGTGGCTCCGTTCCTGGGGTGCCTGCACAGGGATGCTTCTCCCAAGGGTCCTACCCTTGGGCTGGGACATGTCTTGAGGACCTCCCCTGACGTGTGTGTTAGCTTTCTGTACCAGCCTTGGGTGCTGTAGGTTGGGATGGCTGTTGCCCTAATTCTCAGCTCCCTTGGGCTGTGACTCTCTGGACTGGTTCTTGCCTTGTTTGGGCCATTTCTTCAATTTCTGCAGTGGGACTCGCCTTGGCTTGCTGCAGGGGACAGCCACGATCTCACTCGAGAGTCCCGAGTCCTCTTTCAGATTTTTTTGGACAGTTTTTGCCCAGCAGAAAAATGCCTCTGCAAGCTCCAGCACTGGAAAGACGCTTCCTAAAGCAGGGAAGGAGCTGTCGAGGACAGGGGTACAGCCCTGCTTCATATCGTTCCTGGGCACCTGCCTTGGTTTAGGAGGCGACTGCTCTCCCTCCCTCGTTAGCAGGAGTCAAGACCGGGCACAAATGCAAGCCGGAGGGAGCTGCCGGAGCAGTATCAGGTTGTCCTTTTGCTGTGGTTAGTGGCAGCCCTTACTCTGCAAATTCCCTATTTTTAACATTGCCCTGGGGCAGCCCTGGCTCTGGTAGCTGCCGCCCCGTTGTTTCAGTGGATATGTGACCCTCGGAGAGGCTTTATGACCAGGGGAGATGGAGCAGATGTTGGATTTGACCGCCTGGGCCTGACCCACGTGACGGATGAAAGTGATACCGTGCGAGAGCCCCGGGTGGAGCACGCTCTGCGGTAAGCGCTCAAATATGTGGAAGTGTTTATAGAGAGCTGGTGGGGTGAGTGCAGCCGCAGAGCGAACATCCTTCAGTTCCCTGGCGCTGGGACTCGGGGATGGGCAATCCCAGCTTGCCACGGGGGCGGCAGCACTGGGCTCAGGGATGGAGGTGCAGGGCGCCCAGCCAGCTGCGGGACTGGTTGCTCGCGCTTCACATTCTCTTGCCTTTCTGTGGCTTTACGTGGGATTTCATAATGTGCTTTCTCTTTTTTTCCCTGCCTTAAACAAATAAAAGGCCTTTGAGTTTTCCTGTTTCTGTGGCTTCGTTATCTTCTAAATCTTGTTGCATCTGCTTTTAAGACAGCTTCCTCAATGCCCCCCGCCCTGAGCCGCAACCTCAAATTCAGATCCCAGCACAACTGGGCCAGCGTGGTTATTTTCTGATTAACTTTTCGCAGGCTGCCTCCTCTGTACCCATTTCAAACAAAGCAGTTTCAGTAATTACTGACTGGCTGAATTTGGAAAGCATTCCCGTGAATACCTGTGTGTACAACTGGGAGCTTCCCTTCTGCTCAGGGTGGTAAAACAATGAGCGCTAAGTGCTAGGAGAAAAAAAAAAAATCTCAGTGTTTTTGCTTTGCCTATTCTTGTTTTATCTCTGCATGAACAATATTTCATGTAGAACAACATATGTATCTCAGTTATTGTCCAGCTGTGTGAGAGAAACTGGATAAACTCGCTAAGTTTTATGCTTCTTGCTGACTTCAGACTGAGTTTTTGAAAGGCAGCACAAGTCCTCCAGCATCCTCTATGGGTTAACTTGGGTTTTGCCTCTTTTTTTTTTTTTTTTTTTAAAGCTTGGCCAGAT